GTTCAGGTCCCTTCCGACCCTAGAAACTATGAAACTATAAATTACTGAAGGATTTAGCTGAGGTAATTTCAGAGCAACTGGCTCTTTAAGAACTCAGAGTTCAGGCAAGTTCCTGGATGTCTGGAAAAAAATAAATCTAGTGCCCATCTTTAAGAAAGGGAAAAAGAAGGGTGCAAGAAATCACAGCTCAGACAGCCTGACCTGGACACCTGGAAAGATCATGAGACAGGTCCTTGAGGAATCTACTATGAAGTACCTAGAGGAGAAAAAGATGATCAGGAAAAGCAAGCATGGATTCCCCAAGAGCAAGTCATGCCTGAACAACTTGATTTCCTTCTGTGATAAGGTGACATGCTCTATGGAGGGGGGAGAGCAATGGATGTGATATACCTTGACTTTAGCAAGACTTTCAGCACTGTCTCTCATAACATCCTCATTAACAAGCTTTTGAAATACAGACTAGATGGAAGTAGTGTAAGGTGCACACAACTGGTTACACCACTGTGTTCAATGAGCAGTCAGAGATGGCTCAATGTGTCGCTGGGAGGGGGAACAAGTGGGGTTCCTTAGGGACCTGTTCCTGGGTCTGGTATCGTTTAATGTCTCCATTAATATTTTGCATGATGGGATTGAGTGCACATTTAGCAAATTTGTGTATGATACCAAGTTGGGTGGAATTGTTGAGCTGGATCCAGAATGACCTAAACAGACTGAAGATACGGTCTGCAATCAATCAAACAAAATTCAACAAGTACAAGTGCAAATCCTGCACTTGAGATTGAATAACTGCATGCACAACTACAGACTATGGAGTGACTACTTATACTGCAGTTTTCTGGGGATTACAGTGGACCATAAACTGAATATAAGCCAACCGTGTGCCCTTGTTGCAAAAAAGAAAGTTTATATTGGGTTGTTTGAACAAGTATGTATTTTGCAAATCAAGAGAATTGACTCTATTCAGCACTGATGAGGCCTCCTCTAGAGTACTGTGTCAAGGTTTGGGGCTCACACTTAAAAAATATGGACAGATTGGAGTGAGTCCAATAGTGTGACAAAAATTATTAGAGACCTGGGAAGCATGACTTACGATAAAGGGCTGAAAGAGCTATGGTTATTCAGTCTGTAGAAGTGAAGACTGGGGGGGGGGAGGGAGGGGGGATTTTGATAAGTCTTCATATACCTAAAGGGCGATTATAGACAGGATGGAGATAGGTTTTTCTCTGGCTGTAGGGGACAGGACAAAGAGCAATGGAGTCAAGCTGAAGCAGATGAAATTCAGGTTGAGGTTGGAGATTAAGAGAAATTGTAGAATCTCCATTCTTGGAAATTTTCAAAAGCAGCTTGGACAGATGGTTTCGTGAGATAGCTGGGATATTTTAGCGAGATGCTCCTACCTTGAGCAAGGGGCTGGACTAGAAGACCTCGTGAGGTTCATTCCAGCCCTACTTTCCTATGATCTTCCAGAGGTCAAGATATTTCTTGTAAAAAGGCATATTTCCTTGTGAGAAACTGAATGAACACCTGTACGCTGTCAATTTCTACTGGGAGAGCAGCAATTTTCCTAGTAGAAACATAGCGTCTATATGTAACCTTAATCTAACCTTGCATACAGTTAAAATTAAAATTAAACTACTAGCGATTTACTTTATCTTCCAAAACTGAAATCTGGGTTTTAAGCATTACCAATTAAACTACTGGAGTTATTTTAATTGACAATGAAGCATATCCTACCAGGGTATTTGCCGCCTTTGTTCCTCCTTATGAAGCAAACAATCAGCAAAATCAAGATAAGAAGAGCAACTGCACACATTAGACCAATAAACCATCCTTGTGTAGCAATGTCAACTTGCCGGCTCGCCATGGCTAGAGAATAAATTTAAAAAAAAATTAGATTCACTGCTGTATTTAATTGCATATTTTGTTATTATTTACATTAATAACATATAATCATATATTTTATTAATGCAGTAACAGCGAATGTTAGTTAGCAATAATGACAGCTAGGGTAGTAATATTGCATGTTGATATTTTCAGCATTTAAAAGTGGTATGTTTCCAAGATCATATATTTAAAGCTTACTTCTGAATAACATTTGAAGTTACCGCACTGTGGTTAGTTGTGAAACATATGCATAGCTTACACATGTCCGCTACCACCTTCCCAAGACCATCTGATAAAATGCAATTGCCTATTACAACTTATACCAACATTTAAATTGTATTCTAAAAAAAAATTAAAAAGGAAATCCTCATCAGTTAATGTGAACCAGGTGGCATGAAACAAAGGAACAATCAGGTTTTCAGGTCCACAGATTCAATTTAAACTAGTCAGCATTGGAGCCCCATATAAAGTTTTATTAGGCATTCTCTTCTTTTCCAGCCCAAACCTTAGCATATAATGTATTTTGACTGTGATGCTTTTGCATTTAACTTTCAAAAGACTGAATGGTTCATGATTGGGTGAGCTCTTCCTTGGTTTTATCTCTGACTACCCTACAAGCTAGAAGGTGATGTTCAGGACTCACAGAAAATAACAGAGAAGACATCAAGAAGTTTACTGAAGGGTAGTGGCAGGTCCAATTTCCTATTCATCTAGGCTGGTGAGCTCAGTGAAGTTTATGACCTATTCTACCATGTGGACACTTAAGATTGATGTTACAACAAGCAACTCTTGAGGGCTTCCATTAAGGAATGAGGTCCCCAAAAGGAGGAAAATCTACTGAGGGAAAAAGGAAGATGTGAATTAATCTGGTTTCAGCCTCTTGCTTCCTCCCATTCTCTACTTCCTGCTGTCCTGCTGGCAGGAGTAGGAGATGTTCATACAGAAGGTTCCCACCCATGCTGAAATCTTAGGGAATTTTCAATTAGAATTAAATTCTTGCACCTCAATTATTCTTCTGCCTCATCTCATGAGATAATATAAAACGTTTACAATGAGGTGGATTACCCAGGATTTCTATTGAAATCAGTGGCACCTCAGAGGCTCTTTTAGTAGATTAGGGCCAGGTTATGTCTCAAAATTCCCACATGACTCTCCCTTCTTTCTGCTTCTGTGAGGTCCCAATGGCATAATTCTCTCTTCTCTTCTTCTGTGAAAGGGGCTTTATTGGTGTGACTCCTCCAAAAGCAGGAGATGGGGAATATGCAACTATTCTTAGGAAGCAGAGCCAAGGCATCATAGAAATTATCACTCTGCCATTCTCTTACTTTAAAATAAATCCTGAGACCAGGTGTGTAGTGGTAGCTGCTGGTGCAGCTCCACCAGATGTCTGGCAGCAGGGGGTAGAAGGTGACACTGAAATTCCTGAGTCAATGTGCAGGCTCAGGCAGCACTGTGCTAAGATATACTAAGCCAGATCCTCTCAAAAGAGAACTCCTTACCCTAGGGTTGCTAACTATCTGCAAATTTATGGATGGACACCCCATAAAAAAGACACCCTAAAAACACCTTTCTATAAAAATCTGTAAAAACGTCTTGCCCTCCATAAAAACAGGGAGCTACCACAGTTTTAACCTTCACCCCAAGAAAAAAGCTAGAGCTGCACTGAAAGAGACTGAGCAGAGCAGTGCCAGCTGCTGTTAGAGGGGGAGCAAGGTAACCTGGCATGCACGGAGCTTTTGTCAGAGCTTTGCAGCTCAGTGGAGCCTGCTAGACCTCTCCCCCTCTCTAACAAGGTCTAGCCACTGGCTCTATGCTCATCTCCTGTCTCCAGTAGCCTTGCATCAAAGGAGGGAACAGTGCAGCTAGGGATGAGCTGCAGGCCAGGAAAGGGAGAGGCAATGGGGAAGGGTCTGTGCCAACAAAAGGGTAGTGGGGACAGCAGGGGCCACACAGGGGCAGCATGATGCGGGGTGCAGTAGGGGGTGGCAGGGCATGGTGTGAGTAGGGGACCCCTGTGGCTGCAGTCATGTGGGGTTGCCAACCCAAGAATTTTTACTTTTTACTGAAAGTAAAAACATGCCAGTGAACAACTTTCTCCATCAGTAAAAATGTGCAGACTGTCAGTAAAAATAATTTCTTGGGTTAGCAGCCCAGCCCACCCTCAGCCATACTGCTTTCCATTCAGAAACTAGAGTGTACAGAGCTGGTGCACTGTGTTCTGGCACAGTGATGCTCTGCATACCTAAGGATCTTCATTGCTAACTCACAAGTAACTATGAAGGCTGGATACATGCCCTGCTGCTCATTCCATCTGGAAATACTGGGGTGATTTTGAATCTACATTCTCTTCTGGTGCTTTTACCGGGCAAGAATGTGATTTGGTGTGTAATTTGGTTTGTGTTGTATGGCACTGAATTTTGCAGTCCTCACAGGCTTTTGTAGGACTTCTGTATTCTGATTTTTTGGAAGCTGTTTAATGCCTTATAGGTTTCTAATACATATAAACATAAAACAAGCCCCATCTATTCTATTTTAAAGAGAAAGGTAAACTTTCGGTATCATAAGTCAACCAAAGAATTTTGGGGTTAAGATTAGAGTGATATTGTTTTTGCAAACATGCATATATAATGAGGTATTAACATTTTTAACCAATATTGTAGCAAGGTGCACAGACACATTGAACATTCCAGTGTGAGAAGTAGAGAGTCTGAAACAAAACAATCATGCATAGACACATGCAAGGGAGATGACAGAGTAAAGATGAAAACTTACTTAGACAGCTTCTTGTATTCTTTGAAATACAGAATATCCGATAGGAAGGGGTTTCTAAAGCCCAGTATTACTTTAAAAATGGGCACTATTTATTTTAGATATAGTATCTGCTTCAGGCAAAAATATTTATTCCTGGTGAACACAGAAGCTGCTAATACATGAAAGTCAATGTAATCCACTATACTAGGCATACTCAAGAAGATAAAATCATATATTATATAAAGATGCTCTATAGGAATGCTTGCTAGAACAAATATTCATTGTATAGCAAAGGCCTCATTATCTTGGGTTTTCCTTCCATGATAACAACATATTCTAAATGGGTGTTTTGGTTTTCTATCCCACTGTATATCTTCAATATTCACCAACACTGGTCTGGAATTCAAAAACTGACACAGATTTCACAAAGTGATATAGAACTCTTTTTGCAATGATTCTGTTGTACGAATGAAGCGATGAGGCAATTGAAAGCAAGGCTGTGAACCAAAGCTTTCCTTGGTCCATTGTCTCCACAATATTTCAAGCCTTGGAAGGCTAAACAAACGGAGTCAATGCACTTGACCTAATCAAGGGCACACAGTAAGCATCTTAACTATTTGATCTATTGACATTTTATTGTTAGGCTGGGTATTTTCTGGGAAAGTTTTGACCATCTTGCTTTCAATGAGTTGCAGTATAACTTTCCTTCTCCATGTCCTGTAGGCTATTGGCATTCAATACATAGTTGCATGCCTGTTTTCTGACATCACCAGCCTTCCCTGGCTTAAGGTGACTAATAAAATCCTATTTTGAGTCTGTAAATGTTAGCTGGGAATTACTTTTTAAAGCTTTCCTATAGCAACATTATAACACAATGACCACCAACGTACTATACACATGGAATGAAACAAAAACATTATGATTTCAGAAAGTTGTCAAACTATCATTTTAATTATTTTCTGTTTATCATTATTTTGTATTGCTCAAACAACTGTATATATTGCAAATCTAGTTCCTTAAATCATAACGTTTGGATAGCAGGTGAGACCAAAGTGACATTGACAGAACAAGTATCTGCAGGCTACAGTGCTTGGAATGGGCAGAAGTGGCTAGCAAATACATACAAAACAAGGCTTTTATCAAGAACATGTTGTGAAGGCAGCACTGTATTCATTATGACATCAAAATGCTTCTAATAAAGCCCTTTTTTCTGAGTTAAGTAAACAGGCATCACTCATTTTCTTGTGAAGATGTAAATGCTACACATTTTCTTGTACTGAAATCTGGCTATTATTTACTTTGAAAAAATATGTATGGAAAATTTAAGAGACCAATTGTTTTTCTAAATATGGTAATGTATAGGTTATGTTTAAAAACTCCAGAAAAATGTCAATGTTTCATGAAAAAGATGAATTTATACCTAGAAATGTCCTAACAATCATTCACTCCATTGGCACATATTATCCATACATTTTATGGATTCTTAATGTAAATCAGAAACCTAAACTTCTGATACCTCAAATGTTTAAGATTTTGGTAACCAAGCTGCCGATATCCACTTCGTTTAAAAAAAAATATGTACTCTGCTGTATTTACAGCACACTATGTTATTGAATTACTACATCATACATTCTACTTCAATTAAAAACCCACTAGAAACAAACAAAATATTTAATCCGAAATGCACAGTGCACAGATTAAGAATGAATAGTGAGCATTTAGCTCACAAAATAAATGGCACAGAAACAAAGTAAACTAAAGGGTGAAAACATTCATACTCTGCACAGTAGATAAGCTGGCATGTGTGGGAGAATTCTTAGCATTAGTCTAGAAAAAGATATGATCAATATGTTTTAGCTATAACGTATCCCCACTAGTAGCAATTTAATATTTCAGAACCTGGCATATCACAATTCTTAATGTGAGACAGAACTGGTATGGCATGCCTCACCTGGACCTGTCTCAAATACATCCTCTGAACTCATAAACTCAGACAGACCCTCAGCACCAACCCGGACTTTATATGCTGTTCCTGGTGTTAAACCCTTTAACACAAAGAAGCTCCGAGAACCATTTACAATGTCTTTTTTCCAATCTTCTTTGCCTATAAAAATTTTAGGGAAACAACAAATTGGAATATTTTAATTTACTATCTGTTACTCCAAGTTTACAGACAGAATACTTTCTACATTTTGGATTTGTAGAAGAAAATGACTGCTGTTTCTAAAGGTAATATAGTTTTAGATAAATAATGATTGCAAATACTATACTGCATGCAACATGAAGAAAAACTGCCTGAATAATGACAACTAGTTTATACTTTTGTTCCATTGCACTATATAATATTGTTTTGCATCTATTTTATAAAGAAACAGTACCGTGTTTGCAATTATAGACTATAGGTAGAAAAAGTTTATTTACTTAATTTGATTATGCTGCTACACTCTGCATTAATATTTACTTTTTTTGAGAAAAAATCTACTTCAGAATCTAATCAAAATATATCCTGGTTGTTTTGAATATATTTTCCCATGCGGGACATTTTCCTAACAATAACTCAACTTATACCATGAGCAAAATGAAGAGGAAATGTTATCCTTTTAATCTGCAGACTGACAATTATACTGTCTCTAGTGCCCACCATATAAAAAGGTGTTGTGAAAGGTGAGAATTATCTCCACTTTACTAATTCATCATTTGCATCTTAATATAGAAGTACAAAGTGTTGATGTTAGAGCTTTATTTTTGTTTTTACTACATGCAAAAGTGAGTATAGATATCAGCTTGTTTCAAAAACATAATTTTGCTGTTTCTATTTTAAGGTATAATATTAAAAAGAGGATCTATTGTTTGCTTCTTTTTCACTCTTTTTATTGAATTAGGCTCTACTGATGTAATTTTCCCAGGACATAATTTAATAGATATGTCACATTAGTTTTTAAGCCATATTCTAATCACTGCATAATTGAGGGTTTTAGGCAATTAAGGGTTTTAGGAGCTCTTGTTGACAACAGTTGATAAAATAATACAACGGAACAAAGGCTGATTTTTAAACTAGGCATCAAGTAACCTGAAGAGCAGTGGCTTTTGTTATAATAAAATTATTTGAATTACAATGACTCAATCTGCTAGAGCAAACTAAGAAAAATTTTCTAGCTATTTTAAAACTATCATTAATAAAGCTAGATTAGTATAGGATCATGCTCAGTTACTGAAATTTTTACAATTTTTTCTCAGCACTCAGAATAATTCAATGAAATGGCTTCTTACTGCCTGCTACACCATATTCAACATAAAAGTTCATATGATCTGGTCCCTCATACTCCCAACTGATATTGGCATAGGTCTCAGCAGCAGCTGCAGAAACATTTCTGATCCTTGGATAAACTGGTCGCACTGAATACACAACAGAAAAACAAAGCAAAAGTTGAAATTGGGACTATATGCACATAATCAAATGTTATTTCAGAAATAACTATGCTAATTTGGCTCATATATATGGAAAGGATGCTTTATCATTGTTTCCATTACTGAACTAGTGACTGCATTACTGCATTAGCATGTATGGTCACTGAATGCTAAGCAGTTACTACACTCTTAAATAGGAAGTAGAACTATATCTCTGAGTTCTATCATGCACACCCTATATTGCTAAGATTGCCAAATACTTTATAATACCAAATTGCCAAAGCTCTAGAAAATATTATCATCTACATCTCTTGAGGTACAATGCAGATAGCTGAAATGTGAAGAACATTCTTAAGGTTTCTCAGTATCGGACAATGGAGGAAAAGAGGCATTGTTAATGTAGGGACAAATTTTACTTGCCTCCATGTGTTATTTCATAGGCTCTGTAAATGCCTCACTGCGGGCCCTGTATGAGATTTTGCGTTTCAATGGTGTCTACTGTATTTATAATGATAAAGAGGATCACAATACCCTTATAGAATGTTGGACGGACAGTATGCAAGACAGGGGAGGTTGCAAAAAGGGTTTCTGAGTATCCTTCATCATCAAAGATGGTAGGAAAGAAGAAAAAATAAGAGAATAAAAACACTTTTAAATAAGAAAATACTATTTAAACAACAGAGCAGAGCCTTACCTGTTGAGTAACACATGCATACTTAAGGTCATGCAGGTTTCATTACAAACAGTTTTACTTGTTCTATGGATCAGGTAAGTAACATGAATGATTATGTGTGTACTAATTCCTTAACACCTACACAATATTTCTTAAGTCATCTTAATTACCATTTCAGAATAATGTTTATTTAACATACCCAACTGAAAACTGTCATCAACAATAGTTCCCCCCACAAATGTATATATATTTTTTCTACTTTGTGTGTTAAATTTAACACAGTCTTGAATAGCACATGATCAGATCAGAATGCAGACACTAGCTTCAGCCGCAACTACTATATAATCTATATATGTTCTGGTTCTAGGTAGATGTGGTAGGACAATTAAGTGAAGTAAGTCAATCCAACATCGGCCTTTTGATTCACTGGGAAATGTTGTATTTTTCTATCTGTTATTACTTTTGGATCTTGAACTTCTATACATAAATGGGTGAAGACCTACATACTGAAATTTCCATTGGGTTTGCATACCTAATTTTTTCTTCCCCACTTCAAACTAATTGGATGCATCTACACATGTCATTAAGGCAACATGATAAACTCATGCTGGAGAAAACTGCTCCTAGTCACAGCATTTACATGTGCACCAGGGACTGCTACAGTTTGAGCTGGGGCAGAGCAGCCCTGGGCTGACACCAAGCTCATGGAGGGTCAGTCCCAGGCTCCAGGTGGCACTGTCAGGTGGCAGACAGGCTGACTGGGGCATGAGTGTGCCAAAATTGTGAAGCCGTGTGAGCCTCCTACCAGAGCTGGTCCATCCTGGCTCAAACTCCTGTGATCCCGGTCACCGTCCACAGATGCATTCTGTGCAGTAAATGACTCTGCCGTAAAATAGTAGTGTCCCTGACAGTAATATCTTAAGTTGGAGTTAATTAATTTACTGCCCCCTAATACCAGTGCTTCTGTAGACAGGGACACTTTACTGTGGAGCCAATTAGTCAGTGCTGCAGTAAAGCACACATGTAGATGTACCCACTGGGTGGCTGATTCTTGAGATACTGAGCAGCCAGCCCACCTAGCTTCAGTGCAAACCTCAGTACTCAGCACCTCGGAATTCCACAGTACTCAGCACCTAGGGATTCCTCAAGGTGCTTGACAAAAAATGGAAGTTGCCAAAATACATGAATCTTTCTATAAATATTAGCTACAGTACAACGGTCAGACCTCAGTCAAATATGAAAACACAGCAAGTCAGCTACAGACCAAGGGATTCTGTTTGTCAAACAATTTAAGTAAGTTTTGAAATAAAGACAAAGAAACAGGCCCAAAGTGTCAAAAGCTTACTATTGTATCGTATGACCCTCTTGTGTGCACACATCAGGTACATGAACAATGTCATTTGGCTGACTGGAGTGACACTGAGATTATTTATACTGAATAAGCATTAGCATATCACTAGGACATTTGTTAAATGCTAGAATTCCCAGGTAACGCTGAAGAAAATGAACCACTAAATGTTACTGAATAGTCAGCTATTACATTAGAATGTGAAAAGTGATGACAGTTCTTAGACCAAAAGAAGCCCTAGGCCTAATGACATTTAGCTAAAGTGTGTGTATACACACACACACACACACACACAACATTTTTTTTAACTTGCCTGAAGCAAAAAGTTACTTTTGATTAATGGAATCCAAAATGATAATCCACTATCAGTTATAGATACAAGTGACTGCCTACTTGAAACACCAAGATGATTCACCAATTTGGATAAGCACTAATAAGCTGTTTTGGTATGAAGGACAGTAATCTTTATCTTAAAAATCAACAAAGAAAAAATATGGCTTGATCTTCCAGAACTTACATATAACAATCGACAATAGGACATTCATTTCAAACACCAGGAGTTTACATGGATGCAGAAAAGGCATCTGACTATGGAGAGTTGTAGTTAAAAATATAAAAGAGAACTACATTTTAGCTCTCTTTCTCTAATTAAATGTATTTACCTTCTTGTTCTTTAATTAGTCTTTTTGTAAATGGGAATTTCTGTGGTAGCATGTTTGCCAAATACTACTAACGAAATAGGCTGTTTTTTACAATATATTTAATCTCTGAATCTCTGTAGAAATCTAGGGATGCACTACAGGTATATCTTTTAAAGAACAATATTAAACTATGAATTAATGAAATTGCTTTTCTATGGATATGTTTTCTATTGCAGTGATAATCAACATGGAACAATATTAAATATATATATATATATATAAATATTTAATAAATATTTTTGTTAAAAGAAATCTCACAGGAGGAATATCAAGGATGTTTCCCAGTGGAAAACAAAATATAAATGAAATCCTAGCCTAGTCCAGTGAATGGCAAACTCCCATTGACTTCTATGATAAAGCAAAGGGCAATTATCAACAGCTTGTTAATTTGTCCATTAAAAAGTATTACTTATGTCTTCTTGCCAGTATTTTAATTGTTTTGGTTTCCTGAACTAACTCGTTCACCATTTTATTTCGTTTCCACAAGTTGATATCTAGAAGTAACAAAAAGTTTTTGCTTGTTTCTGAACATATTTATGATGCAAACAAGAGCTGATAAAACAAGATACCTCATTCATAGTGACTCTTTACATACATTATGAAGGGCCAAAATAATTATTTCCACTGAAGCAGGACTATCCATTTATTTGTTTCAGAACAGAACTAGAAGTAATTAAATACTGCTTTAGGGAAACATAGTTCAAGAACAAATGTGAAATAACTTAGTGAACAGCTACTGCAAGAACTCATAGTTATGTGAACACTAGAAGTCTGCAATCATACTTATCAGTGCACTTTAATAGCAAAAAAAAATCAAATTTCTATGAGATCATTCTCTCTATGCATTTTAAAAAATGCAAGATGCTACCTAATGATAAAGAAAAATTTATTTTTATTAAACATGACAATAAAATGTTTTGCAAATCACATTTTTGGAAAAGATATTTTTGTAGAAGTGCAGAAGAGACAGAAAAATTCTTGTGACATTTGATGATGCATTTTTCTTATCTGCCAATGTAAGATACACTAGTAGTAAATGCACTGTAACCATTTTACCAAATTAAGTAATTATTCCCCATACTCGGGGTTTTAATTTTAAAAAGTATGTGTAGGCCTCTTTTTCCATGAAGGTATTCTCTATATATTGCATACAAATCTAAAAGAACCTCTCCAATCGCACACAACCCCCTCAAAAAGGGTATATTAAAAAAAAAGTTATCTAGATTGCAAAGTCAGTTAGAAGTTGTATCATAATGAATATGTGAAAAGGAATAAGGCTATAGATCCTACTCCCCACAGTGACTCTGAAATAGCCAGAGCACAAGAGGATGCCCTACTTGCAGAAGAATGCACAGTCTGAAACGGCAAGAACTGGACAAGAGGTATAATGCTCTCTCCTCACAAGAGAACTTTAACAAAAGGTCAACCACAATCTATACCTTCGTATTTGTTCACTATAAGAAAGAATTAAAGGATGGTAATTGTTAGGGTAATTTAGATACTGCATTTTCTTTTCTTGGGTTTCTCCCAATTTGATATTTTTCCCCTGCAAAATAATTGAAGAGTAGAACAGTGAGGGAAGGGACAGACATACATTTAAAGCACTCCAAATACTGGAGTTCTTCAAACTCTTGAGTTTCAGCACCATGCAGAAATGAGCTCTTCCCCTAGCTCTCATCATGCTTCAAAATGGCCAAAAAGGCAAGTAGCAGCAGCACTCTTACATCAGGAGACTGGAGAACAGGAATCACTCTATGCCTCTAGGCCTCTGGAGGTTGCCAAGGATAGCCAAGTACTGGCCATCTGCCCCATTCCTCCATACCTCTCTATGGGGGAACAGAGAGGAGGGAGCAGAACATTGTGGGATGCCAGAAGACTACTAGAGTGTGTAGACAGTTCAGGAAGCATTTAAAAATGAAGCACTTTAGGCATTTTTGAAGTTCTTTTTCAGCCATGAACATCTGCACCCTTCCTCTTTGGAGGGCTTCAAACAGTACATCTGTTCATTGGTTAAGTTTCATAATATATGTTTTTAAACTTTAAAGGTAGAAAATAAAATATGAAAATATACTGTGACTCCTTGCTTATATATGCCAGAGTTTCACCAAGCACCCTTTCCTAAGCTTAATAACTTGTGGATGAACGAGACCATTCTTCTGGACTTTTCCATGGCTAATTTAAATTTGACTTTTAGAAAATCAACTGTGTTGTTTGGGAACCTGTTGTGGTGGTAGCTAGTACTAAGGGCATGCAAACAGGCCCAATTCAATTCTGATTTGGCTCAAATGGGGACAGTGATTCAATTCATTGATTCGGATCACTGTCCCTGATTCGATTCAGCCAAATCCAAATCTGAAGTTTCAATGCCGATTCAGAGAATCAGTGATTTGGCCATAGACACAGCTTTAAATGTTTTTTCTACATACCTTGAGGTACCAGGCAAGGCCCATGAACACTGTGATGCTGAGGTGGATGGAGCGCCCCACAGGAGTGCAGGGCCCTGTGTGCTCAGTGGTGAACCTGGAAGTGGACTGGAAGTAGCCTCCTGCTTGTTCTCTTGCTCATCTCCAGCCTTCAGAGGCTGAGAAAGGCAGGGGAATGAGCAGGGGGCTGGAGGGCAGCTGTAGCTCCTGGGGGGGCCTGGGACCCTGCAGGAAGGGTAGTCCATGTGCTGGGAGGGGCTCTGCCCTGTAGGGGGCAGGAGACCATTGGCAACATGTAGGGGGTGCACATACACCCCCTGAGTGTAACATTGCACCACCTCAGAAAAGGTGCCTGTGGGCCGTCGCTGCTTGCCACCCCCTCCCCCCCCACTGCTAGCGGCGTCTGCAGGCAGTCAGCGATCACCACTGGCCATTGTGCTGTCACTGTCGGT